TCCAAATCCTTCAAAAAACATAGAAAATGGGATCTACAAACAGTTAACAATACCAAAAATTTCCATCTGATTTTAGATGGAAGCAACAGGGTAGCTTTGTTGTTATATAGTCAGTGATTTAAATAAAAAGCTCCTTAGCAATCAGCCACGTTAAAGTAGATAAAGTATCTTTCAAAGCTGGCAACTAAAGCTTTTGGAAGTGGAATTTCCTGCTGTATTTTGAGCGTGAGACCAAAAAAATAGCGCTGAGTCAAAGCAAAACCAACCTGATTCGTGCACTGCTGGGCTTGCACCACCTCTCACTAGCAGCATATTGCCCTTTACTCGGGGGATCCTTCCTCCGTCACTCATTAGCTTCTATTTATTAAATCTAAACTTGGGTGAATTACTCTAAATAAAAGATTCATTATTGCAGTTTCTTTTTTTTAATCCTTACCAGCTGCAGAACAGAGCAACTCATCTGCTAATTAAGCCAGGGTGACATCCAGACAGTTTTAATTCTGATGGATGAAAAACAGATTACTTTAGCATAACTTGGATCCTCTTTTAATAACGAACAGATCAAGCACAGCAGAGCCACCTTCCTATTCAGAAAGCAACAATGGAAAAACTCCTCTGAGAACACGAAGTTTCAGACTCGGGCCAGCGGTAACGTCGCACTTCAGACGCTCAAACACGTCGTCCTTGGATGGGGCGTCGCTCCACATCCCGCGTCTGCTGCAAGCACCGAGGTGCTGCACCCTCTTCGGTGACTTTCCCACACAGAAACAGCAAATCAAGATCGGTCTTTCCCTTGTATAACCCCACACAAGCAGCAAGAACATAGCCCAACCCCTGGGTCTTGGCTGCTGGGTCACAGGGACAGCCTATGCTCTCCAAATGATTTGCGAGGCAGGAAGGAAATACAACGTGATTGACTAACAAGGGTTATATTAGAGAAAAATAGTCCATCTGCAGCTGGTAGTTAAGTGCTTCCTTTTCCTCCCTAAATATAGATGAAATGCTCAGCATGGAACAACTTCAGTGTCTTTCACCCAACCTCTCGAGCCTTTTGCAAGCACCATCGGGACGTGTGTCAAGCCCTCACCCATCAGGGCCCCCCAAGGTGCAGATACAGGTGGTGCTGGAAAGCCTAGTGAAAAGAAAAAGGCTGGTTTTCTCCTTGCTGGAAACCTTTCTTCATTGATGGATAGTGAGGAGCACCTTTGGCCAGGTACCATCTGTCCCCACCCATCTGTATTCACCACATCTGCCTTGGGTGCTGAAGACCTTGGTACCACATCCTTCTGAGGCAACGGCAAAACCACACAGATGGGCACAAGCCAGATGGCTCTTGGCAAGGGAAGGCCTCCTCTCATCTCCTCCAGGAGAGCAAGGGGAGGACAGTCATGTCCTTGAAAACGTTGCTTTTTTCCAACCAGTCTTCAATAGTGGAAGGCAACCTCATCAACGTGCAGCATCGTTCTCAGATGACACCCTCTCGCACTTGGCCTCGGAGAAGAAGGAAAACGAGTCTCACCGACCATATGACTGCAGAGAGTTTCCTAAAAGTAGCCGATTGTTTCATTTTGCACCTCATCCTCTGAGAGCAGAGGAAACCTGCTGTGGTGCCACCATGTGTCTACTGCTACCCTATGGCATCGGCACATGCGAGACCTAACGCAGTCGGCATCCAACCGGGAAATAACCCGGGAGAGAAGAAAGGGGGCAGGACACAATTATGGTCCTGGATCAAACAGTCCTAAAGAACGTTTGGATGCAGGGTATGGACACAGACCTCCGAGCGAAAGGCACGTGTATCTGTTTCTTAGGGCAAGAAGGATCGCTACAGCAGCTCGGCTGAGCTCCAGCCACTCAGTTCAGACTTCATGAGATTTCCATGTAACAGCAAAGAAGGGTGGGATTTCAAGCCTCGTTGACATGGAAATCAAAGCAGGTATCCCAGGAAGAAGTCTAACATACTAATAAACAAGCTATGCTCACTCTTGGTCAAAAGAGTGCCCCAAGGCATCTGCAACACCTCTGCGTTTATTAGCCACTCATCCCGCTCATCTGAAGGATGAATTAATTGTTACAGCCCAAGGAGAGCCAGTTGCCTGAGTTCTCTCTCTGGAAAAGGTTGCTGGAATTATTGTTATGCGACAAAGTTGTTGCTGTCTTAGTATCTCAGCCAATTAACTCAAAAGTACTGTGAGAAATTCAATTTTTGCACGTTGGTGTTTATAGGATTTGCTACAAAACAAATGTAATTACTCGTGAATTCAGTGCTATTGCTAAAGAAAAATAAATCAAAGAGGATGGGGCCAAAATGCATTGGCACATCTCAAGGAGAGCTGAAAAACAGCTTGCAAAAAGGGCCCTAGAAGGTCAGGAGGCAGCCACAGAAGATGAGCCAGGTCAGTCCTCGTGCCCAGGGGAGCCCAGAGCAACCCAAGGGAGGCCGCGTCCTGCTCCTGCTCTCGCTCGTCTTGCTGTGCACTGCGAGACACAGGATTTATGGGGATTATTTTTTAGGTGTTTGGGAAGGGTTACTGTGGAAAACAAACCTTTCGATAGGAGGCTTCTTAGTAGGTTTTTTAAGGTCACAGTGAACAGTGTAGCCCTGAAGCCAGCCTCAAAGCTCCCCGAGATAAGGGGAAGTCATTCCACTGCTTTTGGAGAGTCACTAAGTCCGAGAGGTAGCACTTTCAAAAGCACCGAGCGTTCAGTTTTAGAAGGAAATCTCAACACAAGGAACCTACTTCATGTCAAAAAATAATGGGGGTGGAGGGGAGAGAGACTTAGAAGCCTAATACCAGTTTTTTGAGAAACTAAAGCACCTCAAAAACCCAAATGGATCCTATCTCCTCTCAACAAGCACCTCAAAAACCCAAATGGATCCTCTCTATCTCCTCTCAATTTCCTGAGATACAAAAATTCTGCTAGACACATAAATTGCAGTTGCCTCTACCTAAATCCCCTTTTCAACCTAAATCCTTGGCCTTCAGGGCCTAAGTCCTAAAATCTAATTCAACAAGCAAGTAAACGCCAGCCAACGACTCTCCTTAAGAGGAGGAGCAGAGGCTATAATCAAGACATGTTATTTCCCTGACATTTCCAGATTCTTTTGCATAACCTGGTCTTTCAATCCTGACTTTTAAGATTATTAATTGAACACCCAACAACACTTCATTTGAACACCCCAAATATTTTCATTGGAACACTACAAAACCCAGATCTAGTAAAACATAATGAAACAAATCACATTTGCTAATGATTTTTATTACCCTCTTCAAGCAACTCTTTAACTTCTTGTTTTAAATGTACCTTTGATTTTGCAATTACTCACTAGTTTGATTGCTCCCCCAGCACAAGTTTCCTGCAAATAACACAGACCGACAAATTTTATTCTCCACTGGAGCCTGAAATTCAGAATTAAAGTAATAAGAATAAATTTAGCTTTTATTAGTTATTTTAGTACCCAAGTAGAGATTGCCTCCAAAAGACGCCCCCTTCTAATGGATTTGGAAAGCAAAACAGCTGTTGAATTCCTCCTGGACTGGTATCAATCTATTCTTGTTACTAACGATGTTGCTTAAATTATGCATCAATACCTTAGGCAGAAATCTGTTTCCCTCCGTTCCCTGGGCCTTTCACCTCAGAAGGAAGCAGGAGCTTTTGTACGCAAGGATTTGCTCAGGTATAGATGTCAGTGCTAACACATGAGCCTTACAGTGTAAATAAAGTAACTTTAAAGTGCATTAAAACAAAAATAGTGCCAGATTTCTGATTTTTTTCCTTCTCCTTTCTACCTACCCCCTTAAGTGACAAATCTGGGTCACCTTCTTTGCAATTTGCAGCTCTCCACTGGGAGTTTTCCAGAGATTCTAATTACTTCCAAGCACTGATTGAAAAAAAAAAAAAGGAAAAAAAAAACCACACACACTCATTTTGTGTTGGTGGGTTTTTTAACCTGCCAGTGACCGTGGGTACTGCAGGCTGGTCAGCATCCCCCTGTCCATAAAGCCGGACCCACCACTCACTAAACCAGCTCCCCTCTTAGGCGAGGGGTAAGTGCGTGGCTCACTAGCTACCTCACTAGCACGTCATTACACATTTATTATCTCTCTGTTAAGCTGTGCTGGAGCCCAGAATGCCAAGTTGTGCTTGATATTTTTTTCATATCCTGCATCCTTAAAAATTAAGGGTGCATTTCGCTTGGATTTCAAGCAGAGCTCCAAGAAGCCCCGCTGACGCACGCCGGGCCTGCAAAGCTGCCGGCAGCCTAAGGGATGCCGGTCTGGCGTCAGAGGGCAGTGCCACAACCTCCTCTACACCTTTAGGATGGAGGACGTGCATAAAAATCTACGCCAATTGTTTCATTTGCCCTTGAGACAAGTTTTACAGGAAGGCAGTTTTGATTCAAAAAGGAAACCCTACTGGGTTACATCCACGCATCAATTCGTCTTTTGCCCAAATTGCTTCTCCAAAGGAAGACAAACATTATTCCTAGTCTGACTATAAGGAAGACTATAATTTCAGCAGGGATTGCAAAGATGCAGGAGAAGAAAAACACAACCCTAAGCCCCTCTGCTCCCTTACTTACAGGGTGCTACATACAATGACTAGAGAAAACAGTTGCACTTATGGTGAAAGCTGTCAAGAAAAAAAGGATATAGAAACAAGACGAAGACAACCAACCCACCTTAACAAAATTTGCTCTTGCCCTTCTCAAATTTCAAAGCAGTGAGTGCAACTGAAAGCACAAACAATACTAAGAAGCTCTTCTTGCAAAGGCTTCTTGCTTGCATCACTGTGGAAGTGCCGTGACTTGGGAGGACCAGCTGGATGCTGCAGCGGGGTTATTAACTATTAACTGCAGGGCTCTCTGCAGCACGTGCTAGATCTTTCTTTTCCAAACTATCATTCAGCTTCAGAGGGAAAAAATTGTTGGAACAGAGCTGCTGTGCAACGCTTGCAAGGGGGCTGCACGCGCGGCGCCCTGGCACGGAGGGTCTTACCTTCTTGTGAGCGATCAGCAGACAGTTGGAGTGCTCGTGCTCGCAGGCAATTTCGTAGTCTGGGATGAGGCCAGCCAGCTCCTGAACGAAATGCACCACCTCCTCGTGCCAGGGCACGTTGGCCATGGTGAGGTTGCTGGCTGAGCTTTCACCGCAGTACGTCACGCCCTGACGAGAAACACAGAGACCATGATCAGCATCTCACTCCTCACAAGTCGAAGCTAGTGTCACACCATCTGCTGAAAAACGTCTCTTCTGCCCCCTCTTCGCCCATCTTTCACACTGGATCTTGCAGAAAGGCATCCGAGTTGGTAGACGTTCTCGAGCTCCTATTGAATTCTCTTTTCCCCTATTGAAAAATCACCAAAACGTTGTGTGCCCAAGTTTCTTCAGCGAAACAGGTTATGCTCTCTCCTGTAAAGACAGTTTTAAAAGCATCCAAATGGATGACGCTTGCATGCTTAAATACCAAGGGACACTCAGGAACATCACTTAGCGTTTCCAAAAAAAAGCATGATGTGTCCGGAAAAAAAAAAGGCTTGCGAAACGCCAGTTCAACAGGACACGGGATTGCAATTCAACCTCTAACAGCCCTGTGTGCTGTAGAAGTCTCTAAAGTCCCCTCCCCATCTTAGATATCTGCCACTACCCTTTATGATCCCTATGAACTGCTTTCCAACATCCTTGCCCCCCGTCACTGTGCTCCAGGGAAGCTCCAGCAGCCTTACGGCGCTGGCTGTCCCTGCTCCTAGCTGTTAAATTTAATTATCAGACAGTTAAAACAGGCTGTCTGTCTCCTGCTACTTTTACTTGTAGACAATTGCTGTAACTGCTCCAGACCCCGCTGATTTTGGTAATCAACATTATAGATAGCCCCTATGCTCATGAAGTCCCTTTTCTGCCTTTCTTACACTACCGGTGTAATAAGAACCAGTTAACGGTAACTAGCCCTGTGCTATGAGAACACACATTTTTGCAGGTGCAATTTACTGGAGATTTTGAATAAAATACACTTTCCACATACGTGCTTGGATCCTGAGATCTCCAGGTCCTCTGTGATTATGGGTTATTTTACAGAAGAAGCAGGATCCTTGTTTTTCTGTAAAAAATGGGCATTTCCAACATCTAATCTACCCATGCATATCAGTTAGGATGAGCTCCATAGAGCACAGATCACGCCTTGGCAGAGATGAGGTTTATTAGCAGAAAGTAGATGCAGATGCTGGCAGTGCAAGAGCAGCTTGAGGACAGAGAAATAGCAGATTTTCTAAAAACCTTTCCTTTCAGAGAAAGGGGGGAAAAAAAATCTCTCTGTGAGTGTGCAAAATATATTTCTCTCCTCTGCATGTGCACAAAATGTGCAATTCTTGAGAGCACAAAGAGAAAAACCACTAAAAAAAGTGTAGATGGTGCAAGGGTAGGGCAAGGTGGAAGTTACCTGTGAAACCTGAGATTTCTGAAGACGAGGGCTAACTCGCCTTCGGTCACAGGGAAAGAATCCCATTTTAGAGGCTCAGAAGTTGTGAATTTGCATGGATCGATGCCTATCCAGTGCCATTCCAACCCACAGCCACAGAGGGCCAGAGCGCCCCTGCCAGCTCTGCCCGCACCGCACGCCCACTCCCACGGATTTTGCTTCCACCACAAGCATTAACACGATGATGAAAGAACGAGCATTCTCACTCTCACCCTCAGAAGGCCACAGGACCTTAGAAATCAGGGGAAGGACTCTATTTAGCCTCCCCCATTTAGCTGAAGAAACACAAACCACCAGTTTTCAAGCCTATTTGCAGCATTCTGGTTCCGTATCAGCAGCGTTATCTGCCTGGATGTCTTTAAGCTAGATACTGAACACTCCTCAGCATGCAGTGATACCATTTTAATGAAGGTATTGAGTAGATTCCTCTTGCTTCTCCTGCGCTTCAGCTACATGTGCAGGCAGCTGGGCATACAGCGCTCTGCATCCCCATCCAAGAGGAGAGGTGAGGGACATTTGTCCAAACTGCTCAATATCCCCCCACCATAACGTGGCTTCCGAGCACAGACGCGACAGGGCCTGCGCAAATCCAGGATGAGGGAGTCTGGGCCAAGAACAAGATGCAGAAATTGTGCTGGCAAAATAAGCTGGCCCAAACCCAGCCCTCTGGAGAAGCAAGGCAGGATGAGGAGCTAGTGGGACCCGCACAAGGACGGGACGTGGAAGCAGATACTCTCATACCCCGCGGGCAGATGCAGGAGCCAAGCAGGCAACTCAAAGCCATGATTACACACCTTCAGCTTTGCCAGGGTAGACACCCGAGGGTAGGAATAAATAAGCAGAGAGGAAGGTTATCCATAAAAATGAGTGGAATGGCAATGCCAAATGCAATTAAAACAACTCCCCCCAAAAATACCTTTCAAGCACTTATTCTGAGTGTTACTGCTCAGAGCAGGATGAGTGCGGAAAACTGCTCTTATCCTCCCTTGGTCTTAGATACAACATTTTAAGAGAGCATGAGAGGTTTCCGAGGCACCTGAATAAAAGATCTTTTGCCACCTTTAAACTAAAGGCACGGAAGTGTCCACTGTTCATTTCATAAACTGCCCAATTATATTTCAGCACTGAAGATTAAGTATCCAAGCAGATCCCCAAAGCCATAAATGCCTGTATAAGAACTCACTGAAGCTCACATTCCTCTCACACCCTTTTGCTTAAATTAATACAGTAAATACTGAGAACTTAAAGTCCATCTTTGACTCCGTCTCTCATGCATGTAGAGGAAAAGCAGTCACTGAATCATGAAGTGACATTGCTCAAAAGATGTTTTCATCTACGGTTTAACTGTCCCCTCTGCATTAAATTAGTAGAGAGAGAGGGGGTTCTTGTGGCAGGTTTCCCTCCAGCTCCCTTTGCCATCGCCTGCTACACCAAATAGACCAAGGGAGAAAGTGTTGAGGTGGAACGTGTATTTCTATTACACCTTACACTGGACCGAGACACAAGCACTGCGAGTTTACGCGATTTACTTGCAACAGCAACTGGGATCCTACAGGTAATTGCAACATCCGTTCTGCACCGCAGCTCCGTCGATGCACTGGGATGGCTGGTACCCAACGAGCCCGGCCCCGCCACCTCTCCAGAAACTGCTGCACAGCAAAGCAGCTCCTCCTAATCTCGTAATTGTGTGATCATTTGTTCTATTAATTTGCAGATACGATCACTCCGAGTTTCTGATTTAGTCTTTGTCGTGACCTGTTTCACTACTGCCTTGTCCCATCTTTAACGGGCTTACTAAAATTCACATAAATTAGCTCAATGTGGCTTGCAAAAGTATATTTTTGCTTCTTTCTTTCTTTCCAGATAAAAGTGATTCCTGGCTCATAGAACTGGTTTAACCTAACACATTGCAATGCAGGGCGCAAACCCAAGGACACCCAAAAGGGTAAATTCACATCAGAAACTTGGCTCTTCCTCCCGACAAATACTCAAGTCTCCCATAACTCTCCTGGTAGTTTTATCATCTCTGCTCTTTGTTTGAGCTATTTTATTCTGGTCACAAAGTCCTATCGAGCACGCGTCTTTAAAACACAGCACACACAATTTTATGGATGATTATGTTCTCAGTTCTTGTGTTTTTCTCTGCAGAGAACACTTCTATTTCCTTTTAAATGGTATTTGCATCCAAATTATGATTATGGGACCTGGTCCTGTCTAATATTACATTGTCGAGATCTAATTCAGCCACATTAAAGCTGAACGTGCCATGGCCAGCATTAAACAGAGCCGGGTACTTTGTAAACACTTAAAATCAGAAGGTGAAACCCGCTGCATCAGCCAGATTCCTAAACGGGGCTACAAAGAAACAGCATCATGCTAATTGCAAACTGTAAAAGTTTGGGAAGCAATTGCTTTCTCACTTTTTAATTTATGATGGACCTCCTCTATTAATCTGCCCAAGCAAAGGATATTAAAGCCGCGCACCATAACTCAGAGGCAGTGTGGAAACAGGTCTGCTATGCACAACAGAAGACAAGCCCAGGGAGTATTAAACAGGGCAAGTACATTAATTTTTTAGCCCAGCTCCGAAAGCCTGGGAAAGATTTTAAATGTGCTTGTATTAGTGCAGCCAGCCACGCAAATAATGGGATATGTATCTCCAAAGTTCAGCTGTACAGACACAGCTCCATATAGCACTATTTTCCCCTCGTTCGTTATACAGATTACGATGCCGCAGCATGAAAAATGTATGACTACAGAGGGGAAAATTCTTAGGAAGCTACAACATGACTCACTCCTTTAATAAACTTCAAAGATATCATTTACAAGCGGGGAAAGAAAAAAAAAATACAGCATACAGGCAAATGGAATAACTAAGTACTTGGAGGCTGATTAATTCGCATGCACAAATCAATGAAAATCAGCTTAGTGGCGCACAGAATGAAAGCGCAGCAGCTTCCAGCGTCCTCAGCTTCTTAAAACTTGAGTTAATTAACAGAGCCGATACCACTTATAAAACGTGAACAGTTGATTAGGACGGTCACGTTATATTTTGCCGTAATAGATGAAGACAGCTATTAAGACATCAACTATTAAGAAAAGGAAACTGGTCTATTGTGCACCATGCTTCCTGTATTAACTTCTCTGTGGCAGAAACATCAAGGATGCTGCCTCTTAATTAGTTTTTAATATGGGTGTTTTTAGCATACTAATTACACTACGCAGTTTTTGACAAATACCTTGAAGGAGGCTGAGGCCTTTTGAAAAGCATCTCCAGGATCCTGGGTTATGCTGGTAGGAAGCCAGAACAGCAGTGCCGAGCACGTTTTGGGTTTCCACGCTGCCGAAATGGAGCTGAATGTTCACAACTGTGTTTAGGCGATGTTTATTGCCAAAGTAATTACCACGGGGGTGAGAGAGAGGCACGAAAAACCCCAGACACCGGCTGTTCTGGACATTTCTTCCATCAAGCTCTGGCTCATTGCCGGAGATCTCAGCACCCACCGGTCACTGCAATCCACAGGGCTACCAAGGAAGATGAGTAGGGGACTAAATATGACAGCGCTTTCTTCTTTGGATCAACTCCAGCCTTCCCAACTTAATTACAGACCGAGAGAATTTTCTTAACTTGTAGCCCAGAGATTACAAATGTGGTATATTGAGGCCTGCCTGTGTGAAATTCCAGAAGAAG